TGCGTGATTCTCCGCGAGCAGCTGGATGGCACATACAGCGCCTGCGCGAGTCTCTGCGAGCAGCTGGAGCACCGCGCAGGCGCTAAGACGCATGCGTGAACCGCGCGCGTGCACGAGGACGCCGCCGGCCCCGTTCCAACCGAACCGGTTGGAACGGGATTAGCAACCCACCACTGGTTCCTATCCATCATCTCACCTGAGACTTCCTGAGGGAAATCTCTACACGCGTAGTTGGCATCTTTTGACATTTGATTTGTACACCATCCAGAGTCCCTCTGCGAGGGAGAAAAATTAGGCACATTTCAGGGTTCCTGTTTGTGAAAAGAGCAAAACAGAATTTCTGCAAAGTGGGTGGAAACTCTCAGCTTCTAAAAGGGTAGTCATATTTGTCCGCTACAACTTGAGACATCAGCCTTGTGATTTGACTTCTTGAAATTAAAGTTAGATCCCTGCCTTCAATGTATTCCGCAGCTCTTGAGGAAAATTGTAGTGGTTGGACATACAAAACTGCCATGCCCAGTTAGGTTGTCAATAGTGTGTTCTCTGACTAGAAGCTATTCTCCCGGGGAGATAAAATGACATCTGGTGTGGCAACTACTGTACAGAGGCCTCTATTTTATCAGGTCTGCCATTGCCAAATACAAATGCAGCCAAGGGAATGAATTCAGATCTCAAGACATGAATAGTGTGGCCCACGATCTATTCTTTCTGAATGTAAATAGGGGCCTTCCTTTGCACATATCAAAATTTCTCTCTGAGTCATATGTTCCAGCCACCCAGATACCTAATGCCTGCTTCTCGTTTTCCCAATGCATAGCCAGTGCATCTAAAATCCCACTCGTCAGCAAGTTCCGTGCCTAAGAAAGGCTGGCATTCTCAGCAGACACAGCCCCCAGGTCTCAGCAGAGAGGCACTTGCCCATGGTGCAGCCTCTCACAGCTGGCCACCCTTGTGGCTCCTGTAGCCTTAGTGAGGAGGAACCACTGCTGAAAGTCAGCTAGGATGCCTTTTCCAGAGTAGCATTCTTCCCCTCCTGGCTGCAGAAGCTAGAGAAGGTCCCTTAGGAAGGACGGGAAAAGCTTTGAGAGGCAGCCAAAAGCTCTTAAGCGTTTCTCATGAAATGCGTTGGAAGACGATATTTGAAGTGGTGCCTGAGCACTTTTTTCAGGGACCAGCCATCAGTTATGCATTCATGGGGCTTCTTATGTCATTGAATAAAATTAAGTCCTCTCCTTGAAGCTCTTCTCTTTATACATTCTCAATATCTGTAATTTCTTTTCCCCATTGGCAACAAAGGATGCCTTATAATCCGGATCTCGCTCAGTGGTTGAGTAGGCCTCTGTCTCTGAGCTCATAAATGTTAAGGATCCTCAGGTCAGCATCTCCGGGAACATATCTGTAGCTTTAAATTTTCTGATGCTGCAGGAGATGAGTCAGCTGCTGATTCTTTAATCTTTGTCTTCTGCTCCTCCTCTCGCCCCCCCCCCCCAATAAGCAGAAACCTGGAGAGATGTGCAGCAAGTGTTGGAGACCCAGATGTTGACTAAAGGAAGAAGTAACATATATACATACACACATGATATCTCTTTTAACCTATTTATACAACAAGTCCCTAGGTTTAAAGACGACCCATAATTAAGAATGGGGGCCTACTGTACCAAAATTCAAGTTAATCACACAATGGTTCAAGTTAAATACACAAGGGTTCACTACACAGTACTATTGTACAATAACACTATTCCAGTTTACATAAAAATAACATTATTCCAGTTTACATAAAAAGAGCCGAGGTGGCGCAGTGGTTAAATGCCGCACTGCAGGCTACTTCAGCTGACTGCAGTTCTGCAGTTCGGCTGTTCAAATCTCACCGGCTCAGGGTTGAC